TAGGATTTAGTTTTGAGCGTTTAGACTTTTTAAAGGGTCAAAACATTTTTAGGATTTATAATTTTAAGATTTAGGTTTTAAAAATCTATAATTAGTGGCATTTTTCCAAATAGACAACCCATTGTGTCATTTTTGAAAAGTGGCACACCAACAGTGATATTTTTGCAATTATCCAAAAAAAAAACTCAAAATGTTTTTATTTATAAATAATCCTGTTAATACAATTAACTTTTAACAAGAAAAACGTTAGAGGTAAACACATATCACACACCATAAATTCATAACAAATCAAAATATTAGTGATTTTGTAGTCGAATAAATAATGCACCTTACTATCCATCCGTTTTTAATATGATTATTTTAGATACAAGGGGTTTAGATACTAAGTATTAAAATTGTTATGATTTAGTCTTATACAAAACAGGAAAATAAATTAGAAATTTGTTTTAAGTTTCAAAATTAGTCATATAATGACATTAATCTCTTACACCTAGGGCCGGTCCAACAAAAACGGTGGCCCAAAAAATAATCTCTCTTAAGTATCTATTATTAAAAAAATTATATTGTATTAGCTTAAAAACAATATATTTTACAAACTCATATATATTTTCTTGTATTTGTGGCTCAAAAATCTTTTATCATTTATTTGTAACATAAAAAAATTATTAATTTATTTATATTTAAATGTTTGTAACTCTATAAATTTACTATTTTTAAATTAAAATATGGCCCATAAAATAATAATTCTTTTGGTGGCTCTAAGCGGTGGCCTATTCTACCTAGCCTCTTGGCCGGCCCTGCTTACATCACATTAGTTTACGAATGTTCTTTTTTGTTTGTTTTTTCTTTTGAACTTACAAATGTTACTATGTAACATTTCTAGTAACATTTCTGATTGCGATCGATATGGAAATATTAGAACTCCAAACTTACTGTAGGTTTTTTTTGGTAACTGAAAACTTATTGTAGTTAAAAGCGCCAATATTCTATATTTCCATGATAAGTATATATAACTAATAAAGTTAATCCCACTTCATTATATATTAGGTCTGTTCGTTTGTCTGTCGCCGGTAGCTGCAGTTGCATCATGCGGCCATACGCTACATCTAGACGCTGCAATTGTTGTTTGTTTGTCTGCCGCAACGTTTAACTGCAACGTCTAATCGCAACACTTCCAATCGTGGCGCTGAAAAATCCATCGTCCAAAAATTTCAGATGCTGCTGCAGCGACTAAACGAAGCGTTCGGCCGTAGGAAACTACGTCAGGCAAACGAACATTATTTGGCCACATGACGCTGTCGTAGCCACCAACGGCTGGCAAACGAACAAAGCTACTAAATAGTTACTTAAATCTGTGTGTTGTATTTTTGTTTCTGTTATTTTCTACCGTACCGCGATATTGTCATTCAAACCTTAGTGTAGTGGTAACTTATTTCCATATGATTTTTGTTCCAATCCATTAAAGAGAACCTACTAAAGAGTTTCGTGGAAAGTAAAAAAGCGAAAATGAAAATTTATGTTTTTATATCGTTCTAATTGTATGGAATATCATGTCTTCGAGTCTAGGTTGCATGAAAACGGAAATGGATACGTGGAAACGATTTTTTTTAAAAAATTTAGGAAACGGGTATGTTTTGAAAATGCGT